TTCTGGGCGCGGCGATCAGCCTGGGCCGAGGGGATGTGATTCCAGCCCTTCGGAGGTTGTTTCTCCGCACGGTTCAGTTGTTGCAGGGTCTGTACTAGGCTGCTTGTGAGAATTGCAGTTTTCGTTCATGAGATCTTTCATGCAGTGGAAGATCTTACTCTTCAGGCAGAGATTTTTTCAGTTTGCATGCAGGATTGATTGCCCTTTATTAATTTTGTCTTATTGCTCTTAGTTATAACCTTCACACCCCCCCCAAATTGCTTTTAATCTCCTCTTAGTTGCACTGTGGAGTATCGAATTATTTCCCAAGAACAGCATTAGCTGTCAACAAAAGTTGAACCTTTATAACTCTGATCCCCTTGTCATAGACACATCACTTGAGGTCTTACTTTACCCTGACTTGGGATTCTTTTTGGGTTTTATTCAAGGAAGATAATTTCTCTTGTCCTGACACTTGACGTGTATCTTTACCCAGTGAAGTTAGGTTTGGGGTTTTTATTGACGTTATAGACATTAGACATATTAGATATATAGACATTATATTCTGTTTGGGCTTCAGATTATTCTTTTTGTTCACAGCTGAAGGAGTATCAGCAGAAGAACAGCCCTGGAGCAACTGCAGGAACCAAGAAGAAACGCAAAACTAAAGAAGGCAGCAGACCCTCTACCCCCACCAACGATGACCAGCAGCCTCCAGAGAACGTGAGTGTCTCTTTCTCCCAAATCACTGGCCACCTCCCTGCTGTTTGGCTTTCTGAACCTCCTGACTGGAGCTGGGAAGTGGCTGTGAGTGGTGTAGGTGCTGTACGAGGTGTGCTACAGTAGTTGGCAGTGCTGGAAGTGCAGCTGAGTCTGTCTGTGCCCGAGCAGTCAGCCCTGGGTGTGCCCAGTGCTGCTGTTCTGAGGTGTGTGCTCCCAACGAGCAGGAGGAGGCTGATTCTTTGGCTGCCTTTGGTTGACATTTTCTCCCTGTCCTTCTCTGAGCTGTTTCTCTTTCCCCTTTTCTTTCACCTCCTGTAGATTCAGAACATTCTGAAGGTGCTGGTGTCAGACCTTAACCGCTCCAATGGGGTAGCCATACCCTCATTGGACAAGAGGAAGGTGAGGCAGTGCTCGTGTCCCTCGCAGTGACTCACTCTCCCTCCTGCATGCTTCAAGTTCTGTTCACACTGACCTCCATCCCTGGGATGGAGCCTTGTCCTCACACATCCATTGTCAGTTGCTTGAGTTTTGTTGCTGTTTTGATTAACATGGAGTTCTTCGTTCCCATGCGTTTCCATTGCTCCCAAGTGCTTGTTTCCATCTGGTTTGTGTCAAACTTAACACCTGTGAAAGTGAACCTTGTCAAAAGCTCTTCCTCGAGTCAGCTGGGCTTTGAGGAGAATGTGGGGTTTGGGGTGAGGCAATAAACTAACTTCACAGCTCAGGAAAACTGCAGTAGGAAGAGGTAGTGTTTTCTTAGCCAGTGTTTCTCCTGCTCTGTGTGTCATTGCTTTTTTTTCCTGGAGTGTGGATCCTGAAGGGCACGTCCTGCCCATCTCCAGGCGAGCAGCTGCCCTGTCTGGTTATTCCAGCCACCCACTTCATGACAGGCAATGAAGCTGGCACAGGTGATGTACAGTCTGGCAAGGAGCAGGGGTTTAAATGTGCTTAGGCAGGAAGTCAGATACTTCAAAGCCAAGCATGTATAGGCTCTAGCTTCTCCACATTCCCAAGATCCTGAAGAGGAAAGGGCAGGAAGTTTGCCAAGAAGCAATGGAAACGTGTTCATGAGCAAACATGAACAAACAGCCTATTCTAAATATTTATTTCCAGGCAGTTTATTTAAATAAGACTCAAACTGTGATAGCTATTCAGGGAAGTCCAATTTTGTAGCCCAGAATGTTCTTGCAGTTCTGTTGTACCAAAGCTCTGCTTTTCATTTTCACTTCCATTGTTCGGTAGCTTATTTCCCTACCACTGTTTCAATGGAATTGTCATAAAGTAACTTATTATATTTATTGTCTATCCATGTGTCTCTAGCAATAAATACAACTATAGTAGTCACCAGGGTACCAGGTAGATGCAGTAAAACCTGCAGGATGGAATGGAATTCCCTCTGAACTGCCTTTGTATCCTTTTTTCTTCTCTTTTTTTGGAGTGTGATGATATAGCAGCTGTTCTGCCCAGCACACAGAGTTCCTCCAGCTGCACTGTGTATGTGTAGGCTGTGTGTCAGTAGACCTTGTGGAGGGACACAAAGACATCCTGCCAGCTCTGGGGTGCTGGGTGTGCCTGTCCAGCCTCAGCACACCTGGGTTGTGGCTGAAGTGTCTGACTCTTGTCCTGCGGACTGTTTTCAGTTAAAACTCATGAGCTCAGTGTCACTTAGATCTTGGAGAAAGAGACTTGTTTCATATTGGAGGGTGAGAGGAGGGGCCAGGACTGTTGCTGAGGTGGCTTTTGGCCTTGCAGTGAAGACCTCTCTGTGCCTACAGCTTTAGTCCTGATCTAAAAATGAAGAATTTATTACTTCTGTTCATTCTGGGTTTCCTTTTCTGTTTTCCTTAGAGATACATTTTTGATCTCATTGACTGTTATGGAATTTGTGGGTTATTGTGTCTGGAGGTTTAGGAATAATTGGAAAAACTCCTCTCTAATTGCAATATGTAATGAAAGAAAGATTTCTCTTTCCAGTTGCTGTCTTGTAAAATTCCTGAGTCAGGGAAATGCTGTTCAGGAACCTGAAGCTAATAGGGCAGAAAAGCTGATCGTTGGCGGCTGAGCTGCTGCTGCCATTGGTGTCTGACATGAGGCAGAGCCCTCCCTTCTCACCCACTCAGCTTTCTTGGCTCTGAAATACAGAAAACCCAGCAAAATAGGAGCCTTTGTGTGAAAGCAAATGGACCCTACTATACCCTAAGCTGAGCACAATTACTGACTTTATTCTATATCATTAGAAGCTCACAGGGCACAATGTGCACATAAGTGTTTTGCTTCTAACAATTTGTTTCCAACAAATTCAGTTATTCAAATGGTTTGGGGTTTTTTGGAAGTTTGTTACAAAACTGCTGATTGTGCAGGAAGAAGTGGCTAAGGCACATTACTGGTTTGTGCATCTTGGTGCATTAAGCTAAAAGAGTGTTCTGAGCAGAAGAAATTAAGGACACATTCTTGAGATGTGCCAGGGAAGGAATTCCTCATGTCCCCTTGATGTTTATATTGCTGAGTGTCTGACTGATAAAGATGAAGTAACCTTTAGCTGGAAGAAGTGAGGAGTTCCTGACTTTCCTGTGAGCACCTTGTGTTGCTCCTTGAGGGCACAATTAATTATCTGTCCTGCTAAAAAGAACTACAGAAAACTCTGTTTCCCTCTGCAGTCTTGCAGCTTATTGCTTTCACTAAATCTGTCTTCACTGTTACTGTGCTAACCTTGCTGCTGGATTCATGAGTGAAGTGCTGAGCAGGTAAACAGGGAATGTCAAGAGAGAGCGAGATTTGTTGTTTGCTGTGAAGTGCCAAGAAGGAAGTGATTGAAGTAAGAGGGAACTCATCCAGGTGGAATTGCAGGGAGCTGCAGTATACTGGTGGGGTTGAATGTTGACAGATTCTCTCATCTGCTTTGTGGTGTTTTTAAGTGATGACTTAGCAGAGATGGATGATGAAATCAAACAGATTGCCATAAAACACGAGAGCACTGCTGGGCCTTCATGGCTCTGTGGTGCTGTGCAAGAGGTTAGATGGCCCAGCTCACTGTGGCTTGGTGATGCCATCCATGCTCTCATGAAGGCTGGATGAGAACTTGCACTGCTGTCCAGAAATAGTTTTTTGTTCCTTCACTTAACTATTTAGATTGTTCTGGTCATGGTTTCCATGGCTGCAGCAGGTTCACAGGCACCTGCTCCCTGTGGCCTCTTCATGAATGTCCTGATTCTAAACTGGTGGTTCATGGTATGCCACAGATTTCACTAAGTTTTAGACAGAGCATTTGAGTTTGACTAACCCAGTTTTCAAGCAGTCACTGACCTGTTCTTTTCCATCTTCATTTGCATTCAGTGACCTGTGTTTTCCCCAGGCACACCTCCAAGGTGGTGCTTCTCACAGCACATTGACATCAGGCTCTGCCCTTGCTCACTTTTTGGTGAATCCTTTGCTGTGAATCGAGTGTTTGAAGTTAGAGTTGGGTGACATTGTTGCCCTGTGTTAAAGAAGGGAGTTGGATTATGGGACACTGGTTCTTCAGGCTGGCCCAGAGAGGCACAGGCCTGGGACAGTGTTTGTTCATGGCTGATGCAGTCACGTGTTTGCTCTGGGGAGAACACAGGTTCCCTTCCACACGTCTCCAGATGACTGACTGTTCACATCTGTGTAGTTTTCACGGGCAGATCACAAGGTGATGTGTTGGTGTGTGTGTGTCTGATCATTTTGCATGAAGGCTGTAATTCCTGTGCTGTGTTTTGTGACAGGCATACTTTGACAGTGATGTTGCCACTCGTAGTGCTGAACAGCTTGCTCCCGATGTCCCTGTGCTATCTAACAGCAACAGCCTCCCTAGTTGTGGTTCTGTTCTGCCTGCTCCTGCGAGCATGCAGCTGACACAGGTTTGTGAATTATCATCAATATTGCCATTGAACCATTGCTTAGTGACACCACATTTGTGTGGAGAAAGATGATCTTCATAAATATGACATGAGTAGTTCAGGTGTTCCCCTGTTGGAAGTACTACATTCTCCTCTCTCCATCCAGTCATTATCTGTGAGCAGAGAGAGTACTACATGCACGTGTCCCTGTGGCTTCCAAAGCTGTTTGCCTTCCCTTCTCTCCTCTTTCATTAGCAGACAGTACCCTTAATCAGACAGAAGGTCTCCAGTCAGATCAATCTGTTTCCTTTCACTAATTAAAGATTCAGTTGAAGATTTTTCCAGCAAAGCAAAGTGTTGATTATAGTGATAAATAGTAACAGCAAACACAAAGCCTTTAACACTTGAGTTTCTCTGTTCCAAGCCAGGACTGAGTTGGCAAGTCTTGGCTTACACATCATTTCTGAGTGGTGTGAGCCTGGGTTTCTTGGAACAGAGAAACCTTCCCTTAGGAAGCAGTAATTACAGGAGCTGTGGAACCTGAGCCTAGCTGTAATCAAGTGTTAGTGACACATTCCTAAGTGTGACTCCCATCTTTTACAGGCTTGTAAGTTTTTGTGTTTCAATCCACAGATTCATGACGCTGAGGATCATAAAAATGCTTTGGATGAGAACAGGTGAGTGTCTGTGTTGGCTTTGCAACAGGATCCCAGCAAATTAAGGTTTTATTCCCGCCCAGCGCTGTGCTGATTTGGGCAGTTCTCTGGGAGAGGTTTGTATCACGAGGTCTTTCTTTGTCCCCAGGTCTTTCTCATCAACAGAGAGTCTCCGCCAGTTGTCTGAACAACTCAATGGCCTGGTTTCCCAGGTACAGCCCTCCTGTCCATCCATTCCTCCCATTAATTCTCTTGATGTTTGATGGGGAGCTTTAAGCAGCTCAAGGAAACACTCTTCAGTCTCAGAGATGTCTGCTAAACAATGCAATATTTAAGTCTTGAGAAGTAAAAGATCCGGTTTTAGCAATGTAAGATTTCAGCAGTAGGAAGAACAGCAGAGTGGGATGAATGAATCACATGTATTCATGGAAAGATGTACTCTTGATTTAGTGGAAAAGACTCTGAAGTCAGTCTGCATAATTCTCATCAGCTTGTCACAGGGGCAGCTTGTGTGTATCCCGAGCCAGAGAAGTGTTTTCTGTGCCTGTGTGTGGTGGTTTGAAGTGACAGGTGCTATAAGGAGTGTTATTGCTATAGTGGGTTCTTACTTAAGAGTGATTTGTTGCTTTGGGGTCCAAAACTGACTTACCTGACTGATTTACTCCTAGTCTACGTCGTATGTGAATGGAGAAAGTGCTGTTCCTTCCACAAATATTAAGGAAATGGAAGTAAGTTGTTCTCAGACTGTCATGTTCTGTTTTTATTTTCTTCTTATTTGCTGCTGTTGATGCCTTGTTGGGACTCTGTGCTGGCAGCAGTGTTAGTGAGGCCTAACTGGATGCACAGATCATACATCACTGTCCAGTGTCACCTGGTGATTGGGTAGTTGTGACCACAACAGTTGGAGGCAGGTGTCAGTGGTGTTCCCGGTTTGGGCACTGGGGGTGATCCCAATGCTTCCATGCAACTGCAGTTCTGATTTATGATTCCCTTTTATGTCTGAATGAAGCCTCAGCAGAAATGGATAAAATAGGTTGACATCCCAGCTGCTTTTGTTGAAACCATAGATTTTGTTTTGTTTGGAGAATCTGATTATATCAAACTGTGATAATGATTTTTTTTTTTCTGTCCTTTTTAATTATTGCTTTTTTCCTCCCCTCCTCCTCTTCTGCTCCTTCCTTTTTCTCCTGTATTGCATGTGCCCGTCAGACACGTTACCAGGAGCTGGCAGTAGCCCTGGATTCCAGCAATCTAACTAACAAACAGCTCGTTACAAAGATAGAGGAATTGGTAAGAAACAATCCAACCAACCAGTTTGACATTGTCTTTGCTGCTCCTCCACGCTCTCTGGGTGTCTGCAAGGTTACGGGTTCCCTCAGTGCCACAAGGAAGGCTGTTTGCACAGCACTGGGTCAGGAACAAAATGGGCTGTATGGCAAACCTGAGAGGAGGATCAAAGCCCAAGGCCACTCCTGAGTGTGTTGGCTCATCTGAAGAAGCAGAAACAGAGTTTTGTTGTTTCCATTTAAGTGGGCTCCATCCCTGGATGAGAAGCATCCTGATAAAACAGCTATTTCTGGTGCTGGTCTGAGTCCTTGGAATACAGAGCTCTGGTGCTGGCAGCACTGTGAAAACCTGTTTCTGCAGGTGGTGATGCTGTTCTAAATATATCAGCAGAGTGGGAGCAATAGGTCCAGGAGAGCCTGGGGCTGTTTTCTGATCATATCCTCAGCTTCTCTTGGCACAATGAATGAACTGC